GGGGGGGTGATAGGGATCGTGAAGCCAGACCGCGAGCTCTGGGCATGGGAATGTCCACTGATGACCTATCAGGGAGAGAGGCGGGCTGGACAGGTGGCCGTTCCGAAACCACTCGACTGCGCCAAGCTGATATATTTGTCGGTCCTAACCTAACCTAACTTAACGGTCGCTCGCCTTATGAAAAAAGGAACGATTCATATCTTTCGTGAAAGTTTTTCTTTTCGAAGGACTTTCTTTTTCAGAAAGGGTTTCAGAAAAGAATTTAAGAGAGACATGAAAAAAGTTGGATAGATAAATATGTAATGATAGAAGCGACTTTGTATAAAATATACAAAAAGGATACACAGAAAACAGACGACCAAATAAATTAGTGGAACGTTTCATGTCTTTTACAACTTCATGACTCTGCGCGTGGCGGCCCGCGGCCTCAGAACAGAAACTGGCCGCCGTGTATTATTTACAGCACGCGGTGGAGAGCCTCGACTATCGGAACGGGCCGGCCGGGGTGCCTTGAGGCACGGGGTTCATCCGAGGGGTACTTATTCACTATAGAAATTTGGGCGTACATCGGCTGTACTAGTTTATCTTGATTTTTTCTGATTTTTTCTGTTTTTTCTGTTGTTTTTAAATCTGAATTTTTATTGTTTTTTCCACGATTATTTGCCCCGATTTTTTTTGACATTGTTTTCGCATCTTTTTTCGAGTGAAGTACTCCTTGGGTTTACCCTGCTCGAGGAGACCGACCGCCGTGATAGTGTCAATCATTGCAAAGAATGAGGCTAGGTTTGGGGCGCAGAGCCCAACATTCTTCCCATGTCGGCCGGCAGCGAAATAAGGGGCTGTCAGTGAGGAATGGATTAGATTCCACCGACGACGCCCACGTGGTGGTTCCGAGCGCCGTTGTATGAGAAATTAATCGACCAGTTACGTCTTATTTCGTCTGAACCAACTTTTTTTCTTCCCCTAAAACAGAACTGGGCGTTTGTGGCGAGGTTCTGCTTCCTCTCTGATGACGGCACGTTCCAGTACAGGATCGAGTACGACAAGGTGAGGAGTGTGATCAGATAAGAGTGACTTTATTGACCGGTCAAGAGCTGTGGGCTGTGGGTCAGCAGTCCGCACTAGTGGGCGACAATAATGAGGTGAATCGATTCCCTAATCCAAAGTCCTGTGTTTAGGAGTACGCCACCCAGAACCTGCTCCTGTACTACGACAGCAACCGGCAATGGCCTGCAGTGTACAAGACAAACAAGGTACTAAAGCTGTGGAAACATTTCAATGACAAAACTTACCGCACTGTTAAACATGCTGTAAGGAAGTACAGTTCGACTACGGTCCGTCCTGTATATTTTATGTACAGGCCAGACTGCAATGATATGGACTGTACTTCAGTGTTGAAGTCAAGTGCTGTATTGACCAAAAAGACGGTTTGCGAAGTTACAGTGCATCCTGTAACGAGTGGACTGTAATCAAAAATTACAGCCGCGGGCCTAGTGACAAATTGACAGGGCGCACTGTAGCAATTTCCTGTAGGTTTTTTTTTAACAGTGCGTGTACAAAGAGCTTGGAGGCTTAAGCAACTAACTATTATTGCATGAGCCGATCGTACAAACGTCACGACGTTGGGTTCCGGTTGACGGGTTGAGTCGAGGTCCGCGGTTGAGTTTAGGTCCCCTCCACCTGTTCCAGACGTGCGAGCAGAAGGAGGGGGTGCTCAGCGTGTCGCAGAACCAGATCGTCAACCTGACGGAGCTCCGCGCCGACTCGGGATGCGTCCTCAGCACCGTGCCGCCCTTGTCGCCCTCCTGCAACGAGTCCTCGACGGCGGCGGGGTGCGGGGCCTCCGGGGCGGCCAGGGGGCCTCCGGGACGGCGGGGCCGCAAGCAGGCGCCCGCAGTCGTGCGCAGGCACATCCTCACCTGTCACAACGTCAGGAAGTTCCGGTCGGCCAGGGAGCGCTGGTGGTTCCTGGCCGTCAGCAACTGCAACGCCACCAAGGTGAGGAGGGCCCTCCTGGAAGGGCGGACGGCAGCTCCCCGCCCGACCGCAGCACCCCGACGTGGTGACCGGAAACGGATGTGCCTGTCGCAAGCACCAACAAAACGTCAAAAAACGTGATCGTTGTACCACTTTCGCGGCAGCTGCCGCGGGGCATGCGACACAGTCGCACTCATGTTCATCTTTTCGTCCCCCAGGGTCTCAACTTGCACTATCGCTTCCTGATGACCAACGGACCGCCCGGAGACTACTGGCACGAGCATTTTTCTGCCGACGAGTTTTGTAAGTACCGTCGTTTTAATCGATTCAATCCATCCAATCACACTATTATTAGTACGCCATCGTCGCGCTTCTCTTTTCTACGTGTTGTTTACCGAGTTCTTATTTCAGATATCATGCCCACCTTGATGTTCTTCGCCATCTGCTACTTGCTCATGATCATTGCGATAGTTATGTGCACTAGTGAGTCGCGGCAGTTCTGAATTCAATGCTCGTTCTTCAAAGACTTTCACGAAAGCTAACTCATGCCGTCATCTCACCCCTCTCCGCAGTCGAACTACGCTCGCGCCAACTGCTGCACGCCACCTACAAGATCTTCGTCTTCTCCGTGTCGCTCCAGTCCTTCGGGATACTGTTCCAGAGCATCGCCTACATTCGCTACGCCCTGGACGGCGTCGGCTTCCCTCGGCAGAGACAGCTAGGTAGGTATACCATACACATTTATTTTTTATTGTTGTAAATTTTTCCAACAACCAACTAGAAAACTTGTACCCCAAATAGTTAGGGAAGTTTCAAATCTAAATATAATTTTTCAAACGTATGGGCAGTAA